GTGCTTGGCCAGCCTGCTGTGGAGGTGCCAGGCAGGTGACTATAAAGAGAAGCCCCGCCCCATGTTTCATGGCTCCCCCCAGCTCAGGACTGCTAAACCAGCAGGGATTAAGAGCAGGTGCTGAAATCTCCAGTCAGACCCTGTTTTATGATTCTGGTGCTGGTGTCTTCCAACCAAAGCCTTAAGACTTAGTGGTGTCAGTAAGGGAGGAGGAGGGGAGGGAAGGGGGAGGGGGCTGCTCCCCGGGGCCCCTTGGCTTTGTCCTCTGCTTCTCCTCAGCCTTCCTAAGCCTGTTGTTCAGGAGAGGAGACATCTGTGGCTCTGCCTCTGGCCACCAGACCTACATGAGAATGATCCCCCAAAGAATTAAGAGTTCCCCCCGAATTGCATGCTGTTGGAGGGAAAGCCTGATGTCCCACCACCAGAAGGACTTTCTTCCCTAGGCAAGATGCCACACAGTTCTGTCAGGCCACAGGGCCACACAGTAGTGAGGGACACAGTCCAACCTGGACCAGGAGTGCTTAGCTATGCACTCTTACCTTCTATTCTAATCTAAACCCCAGGCCAGCGCCTTTGGGCACAATCACTGGGCCCCTTTATTTGTTCCTTTCCCAGTGTGGTCACAGTGAACAAATCCCTTTGCTTGGCTTTTCACCATTATTTGTTTCTCTAATCGGCTTGTTGAGGACAGGTGGGTGATCCTAGCTCATTAAGGCTGCCAGGGCCAAGGCTTTGCTGGGAGGGTGGGGCCTTCCTTTTGGTGTTTGTGTTCTCACAGGCTAGCAGGGGACTGACCTACTCTAGGAGCTTGGACTATGTGTCAGATAAGTGAATCTACTTTGTCTATGGACACCATGGTGGTGCATATTTTTAGTATCTCCTAGATGGCACTGCCTTGGAGAGAGGGGAGTCTTCATCCCTTTCACTTAAATCTCTAAGGTCTATGACCTTAGGGAAGTCAAACAGGAGAGTGAAACTAAGGAGCCACCAAATGACACTCCTGGTGCCACCTGGTTCTATTGGAACCTCTTCGAGCCTGGGAAGACAAAACCACCCCACTTCCCACTCCACACCCCTACCACCACCTTCATGTCCCACCCCTAGGGTCCACACCCTCACTCCTATCCTCCCCCTCCCACCTCCCATCTCTCACACCCCCACTCTCAAGGAGAGGCCACACTATAGAAGAGTAGGGTAAAAGTGAGGTCAGAATTAGCATATAAAAGAAACCAGTGGCAGAGAGAAAGAAAGAACACTCAGACTAGGCAACCTACTGACAATGTGGGGAGAGGGCATCCTCACTATGTGAATGACCCAAAAGCCTGCCATACTGGCCTATAAAAGTGTCACCCCTTTGTAGAGCATTCATCATTGAACCTTTGACCTTTTCCCAAGCTTCGGCCCACTTCCTTCCTTGGAAATGCTGTCTTTCTTAATAAATGGTCTCTGCTTCTACCAGTATCCATGTGTCCCTCCTTGGTCCAGTTCCTTTTTCCTAGACAAAACAAGCACCTAGAAATCCCAGTGGTATCCACCAGACCCCAATATATTATATTATGCACCTATAACAACATGCTGAGGTTAGCCCCGGCAGGCTTAGCTGAGGCCCCAGATTGCAGGCTGCCTCAAGCACCAGGCAGCAGAGCCACCAGCCTGGGTGAGTACAGTCCTAGATGGACATCTTCCCACTATTATGGACTCTAGACTCATAGCCTGTACCTCTGGCAGTCCCACCAAGCCACATTCAGCCACTCATTCTCAATAAACCAACTTAAAGAGCCAAATTAACAGTGAAGAGAAGAGGGACAGATTTATTCAGCGTGGATACATTGAAAGAGAGACAAAGAGAGCTAGGCCTTCCCAGTCAAGCTGTAGTCTAGCCACCACTCACTCACCTTCATCTTGGCTTCATTCTCCTACAGTGTGATCCAACAAATTCCAAATCTCTTTCCAGGGGAAAAGTTTACTCTCTGTCTGGCATTAGCCCTTTCTTTTCCCAACCTGAGATTCTTAGAGCATTTTGATTTGTGGGGGGAGTCACTAGTCTGATTGCCAAAGGGAAAGAAACAGGGTCTCCTTAATATATCCTCATTTTTGCCAGGCCAGTTACATCAGCATCACAGGGCAGAGACAGCATCCCTACCCTGCATGCTTCCAACCCATACAATGCAGAACGTTCAAGGAAGGGGCTGCAGGAGGGGCAATAAGAGGTAGGATGGAAGGGGTGGTGACCAGCATAGACTCAGAACAAAAGGTTTGAGATTGGAGGACTACACTGAAGCAGAGTTTCCCTTTGTATAAAAGCTTATTATAAGAGTTATTAATGCCATGGACAGACAGAAGGACGGCAGCATGGCATGGCCTCTGAGGACAGTTCAAGCTCCAGTGCCATAGGCAGAAAGACAGCATGAGCTCATAGTCTCAGAAGTCACTTCCACTAGGTTTCAGAGAAAGGGGTAAGTTGCAGGGCATGAGCTTGCAGCCAGGCTGTCCCTGATTCCTGGGTAGCAGGGGAGGGCAAGGAATTCTGGGTAAGGAATGTGTAACTCCAGGATTCAGGGGAGCAGGGGTACATCTAGTTGAGGTATACCCACTTTAAGAGTGAGGGAATATGGGCCACCTGTGGCCCTCTGATGTCTGGCAACCAGATCTGGAAACTTCCCTGGCAGTGAAAATGGTGCTTGTCTTTCTGGAATCCAAGCACCTGGGGAGCCTGTTTATGGACTCACAGACAGGTTCTGGGCAAAGATCTGTCTTTTTCCCTGTAGCATCAGGGATCCCAGAAAGAAGACAGAGACAGAACTGGCTGCAGATGTGCATAACTTGAGCAGCATCTGGTTTGGGATTGAAAATAAAGATGAGAGAGAGAATAGTAACATCAGAAGGACCAGTGCCTCCTGCCTCAGTGTGGAGGATCTGCACCTGAGAAAAGTAGACACGCAGATGGCCACACCTGGAAGACTCAACCTGTCACCCACATGGCCAGTTGTCTGGAGGTGACCAGGAGACAAGAAAGGCAGTTCTTGGGAAGAAAGACCAGGACGGCAGCAACCAGCCCAGGCCCTGTGTGTTAGCCCTTGCAGGCTGCTGTAACAAAGCACCATAGACCAAGTAGCTTAAGAAAACTAGGCATTTGTTTCTTACCATTCTGTAGGCTGGTGAATTGAAGATCAAGGTGCTAACAGATCCCAGTCTGATGAGGGCTACTTCCTTAACCACAGAGGAGGCCTTTGCTCACTGCGCCCTCACATGGTGGGAAGGGGAAGGGAGCTCCTGGGGGCTTTTTTTTTTTTTTTAATACTTGGTCCCCAGCTGGTGGTGCTACTTGGAAAGGATGTGGAACCTTAGGAGCTGGAGCATTGATGGAGAAAGTAGGGCAGCCTGTCCACATAGCCCCACTTGCTGTTCTCTCTCTGCTTCCTGAGTTCCAATATGAAGAGATTAGCAGCTCCCCGCCCTTGCTACCCTGTCTTCCCTACCATAGTGGACTCTATCCCTCTAGAACTGTAAATCAAGATAAACATTCTCCCCTTTAAGTTGTTTTTGTCTGGGAATGCTATCACAGAAACAGAAACTACACCAATCCCAATTGGGAGAGCCCAATACTCATGAGCTAGTCAGTTGGCAGAGGCTCCACCGCCAGCGCCAGCACATAGGAATTAAGTCACAGCTATGAACAGGTGGCATAGGAACATTCTAGGTGGGTCTCTCCACACCCTCTAAGACAAGACCTAGCAGAGATTTAGGTCCAGAAGGCCTATGTGTCTCCCACCCTAGGTCATATAGCTATGGCTTTCTAGGCCCTGATCTGCCAGGAGGAGCTGCTCAAGACCCAGACAAGCCCTGAGAAGACCTGGGGTACCGGGCATAGACATCTGCAGCCTCCAGCCACCCCAGGAGTACAGCATTTCCTCTGGGAGATGCCCCAGAGCCTCTGGGCTCTTCCTGTTTCTAAGACACAGGGCTACCACAGAGGGCTCAAAAACAGACCATGTGTCATTGGCATGCAGGCTTGTGTGTGTGTGTGTGTGTGTGTGTGTGTGTGTCTGGGAGAGGCAGGCCCAGCACATTTTTGGGATGTTATGCCTGATACTCTCTGATTTCCCCCAAATAGATAAGAGCAGTGTTCTACTTTGCTTTCTATTGCTGGGATTAATTTTTTTAAACAAAAATTCTGACCAGAAACAACTTGGAAAGGACATAGTTTATTTCCTCTTACACTTCCACATAACAGTCCCTCACTGAGGGAATTCAGGAACCTGAAGGCAGTAACTAAAATTAAAACCATAGAAAACTTCTTGCTTTTTTTTTTTTTTACATAATCCGGAAGCCCCTTCCCAGGGATGGCACTGTCCACAAAGGGATGGGCCCTTCCCATCAATCACAAATAAAGAAAATGTCACCCAGTCATGTCCCTGGACCAATCTGGTGGAGTAAATTACTCACCTGAGGTTCCCTCTTCCCAGGTGACTACAGTTTTTATCAAGTTGATAAAAAAAAAGTAGAGGTGATTATATAGGTGATTATATATCTCTGCTGAATAAAAGAGTCTATGGGGAGTTGAGGAGATGGTTCGGTGGGTATAGCGGTTTGCGGCATAGCATGAAGATCTGAGTTCAGATCCACAGCAACTGTAGAAAATGCTAGACATGGCTGCATGTGCCTGTAATCATAGTGCAGAGACAGGAGCATCCTGGGGAAATGCTGGCCCTGTCTTCACACACACAGCTCACAACACAGGCTCTTCAAAAAATAGGTTGAAGGTTGTGGTGATATATTATTTATGATTTAATAAAGCTTCCCTGGGGGATCAAAATGCAAAGCCAGCTATAAGCCATAGAGCCAGGCAGTGGTGGCACACACCTTTAATCCCAGGACTTAAGAGACAGGCAGATGGATCTCTGTTAGTTCAAGGTCACCATGGGCTACACTAAACTGATCCAGTCTAAAAGAGAAACAGCTCACAAAAAGGTGATTTCAGCACTTGGGATCCCAAGCATTTAATCCCAGCACTAGAGAGGTATAAAAGGAAGAAGCAAAGGACCTCGTGTGACATTTATTCTCCAGCCACACTGAGAATAGGACAGCCCTTTCAGCCTGAGGTAGAGGTAAGAGTTAGTGGCCAGCTTCTTCACTTATCTGTCCATCAGCTTAAACCCCAATATCTGCCTCTGGGTTTTTATTATTTGTGTTACAGATGGGTCCTGAGGTGGGGTGGGGAGCAGGGCCTGGCCAAACAGCTCTCGGGAGAAGCACTCCCCCACCTATGAGAAGCTGCTATTCTTGGCACCTTCTGGGTTTTGTCCCTGGAAATGGACCTACAAATTTCAGATGACTTTAGAATCATTTCCAAAACAGCATTAGGAGCTGGGAGACATGGCTCAGAGAGTAACATGCTTGCCAGCAGAAACATAAGGACCCACATCCAAAATCCACTGAAAAAGCCCAGCATTGTAGTATACACCAGTGCCGGGAGGTGATGACAGGTGGGCCTCTAGGAGCTTGGTGGCCAACCAGAATGCCAAATGAGGAAGCCCCAGGCCAGTGGGAAATCCTATCCCAAAACCCAAACAAACGAACAAAAAACCAATAGCAACAACAAAAGACTGGGCGGCTGGAGAGATGGCTTGTCAGATATTCTTCCAGAGGACCTGAGTTTTGTCCTCAACATCACGCAGCTCACAAGAGGGTGTCAAAATCTGACACCCTCTTCTGGCCTCTGAGGGCACCCACACATGTGGCATACAGACACACACACATACACACACACACACACACACACACACACAGTAAAAAATAATAATTTTTAAAGGTAGGAGGCTGATAAGATGGCTCAGTGGTAAAGGTGATTTCTGCCAAGCCTAAAAACCTGAATTTAATCCCCAAGATATACATGGTGGAAAGAAAAAAAAAAAAAAAAAAAAGACTGGTACCCAGCAGTTGTCCTCTGAGCTTCACCTGTTTAAAACCAAATATATGTGTGGCAAGGCCTGGGGCCAGCGTCTTGGAGTAGGTTCAGTTTCAAGATCTTGAGAACTCAACTGTCCCCCCTCCCTGAAGGTCTATGGCTACTGAGCTCGTAGTCTGTGACACATGAGCTATGCTGTGTTCCCTTTGTGTACCATTACTTGATTAGCTTCCCACTGACTTTATCCCATTGTGTGACAGTTTTCTGCTGACTCTGTCCTATTTCCCCTTGTATATAAGATTCTGTCCTTCTTAATAAACTTGTTTGACATAACACATAGCTTGTGCAAGACCTCCTGACCCCACTTTCCTAACTACTTTTACTTCTGATCTGCTTGCTGGTCCTTCCTTTCAGAAGGTCATAACCCAATCTGGATTACTCCCACAGGCATGCCTGGGGCTAACCTAATCTGGATTACCCCCATAAAACAAGCTGTACAAAAAATCCCATTGTAAACTATTATTATTATTGGTGTTATTATTATCATTGAACACATATGTGCCACAGTGTCCTTGTGGGGGTCTGCAGAGTTGGCTGTCTCCTTCCATTTGCACATGGGTTCTGGGGTTTAAACTCTGCTCCTTAAACTCTGAAGTGCTTTTCTTGTGGAGCCACTTGCCTGCCTGACCTTGAATTTCTGATACTGGGGGTTGGATTTAGGGTTTCGTGATGATTAATCTCAGAGGCTCGCCAGAGGTAAAGGTGTCCTAAAAGGACAAGCTTACTAGGGACCGTCTCCCATGGTGGGTTGCACCTTCAGGTAACAGATATGGATGTCTAAGGATGGAAACTTTTGCTTTTTGCATAATTGCCTTCACTGCAATGCTTCTACTCTGTTGTTGCATTTGCTGCTGCCACCATCCTCAATTGACACCAGAACCTAGATAATTCAACCTTGAACTCGGTTCCACAATGAACTAAGTATCAGTGGCTATCTAGAAATCCTCCAGGCCTTCAGTGCCAAATTGGGACAAGTGAGGCATCCAGCCTCATGGACTGAACGGTAACAGGGTTCTCAGACTCTCCAGTGTAAAGACAGTCATTGTTAGCCTACCCAACCAGAATCCTATGAAGCATTTTTCTTCATGTATGTTCAGTTCTCTTCTTTAGAGAACCCTGACTAACACACTAGGCAAGCACTCTACCAACTGAGCTATTTCTCCAGGCCCTCCCTTTTCCTAGCCGACCCACGGTTCTCCATTCTGACTCAGCTGGAAATAGTTCTCTGTGGAGGAATCAAGATACAGACATCACCTGACTGGAATCTTGCAAAAAGAGCTCAGGCAGCCTGCATGCAGTGTGGAGCTGCCTCTTTCCGGTGGCCTGAGACCAGCATTTTCCAGCTTGCAGTCACTCTCCTGGGCTCCATGAACAGTGACTTCCTAAGTCAGAGAGCTTGAGAGTTCAGTTGAAAAAATGCTGTCATCTGTAAAAATACTTATTTTGCCTCTGTGTTTCCCATCGCTTTGACTGGGTGAACCTTTGTTTGCCTATTGGACACATTTCTTCACTAATCCCTCCTGGGCCCCTCTGCTGCCTCCCTGACTGACATCTTGATCCTTTCAAGGGAGAAGAGTTTTGTCTGAAGAAAAATGGTTTCTTCCTTTATTTTATTGTTCTGTTAGACTTGGAGAGATGGCTCTTTGGTTAGGAGCACTAGTAGACAACCTGAGCTAGGTTCCCAGCACCCACACTGGGCTGCCTACAATCACCTCCAACTCCAGCTCTAGGTATCCAGTTTCCTCTTCTGGCCTCTGAAGTCACCTGCACTCATGTATACCTGCCCACACACACACACACACACACACACACACACACACACACTCACCACACAAAAAATTAAAATAAATCTTTTAATTTTTGTTAACTTATTTATTGATTTACTTACTTAACATGCGTGTTCCCGGGGGTGTGCCACTGTGACATGTGGAAGTCCTAGGACAGTATGAGGGTCTTGGTTGTGTCTTTCCACTGTATGGGTCCCAAGGAATGAACTGAGGTCATCCGGTTTGGAGGCAGCCACCTCTACCCACCGAGCCATCTCACCAGCTCCTGCCTTCCTTCAATTCCAGTACCCATTGTTGGATCTTTTTTTTTCTCCTGTGCTTCACCCCTTCCCACTTTATTTATTTACTGCTCTGTTGGTGATCAGATCTTCTAAATTGTTTTTTGGTAAGGTTTATAATTATGTTGCTAATGCTTCCATTTGTTAGCAGGGAATGTTTCTTGCTTTTGTCCTCAGAGCCTCTATTGAATTGCTTACTTTTACATCTTGGGTTACAACTTAGGAGCATTTTTCTGTTGCCATTGTTTTAACAGCAGTCTGTCTGTTTGGGGGGTGCTTTCTTTTTAAATCGCTTTAGAAAATTGATTCTCCCATTCAAATTTATCTATAGAGATCCATTTACCATGTTATAACTATTTTATTGAAATTATCTCTATTTCCTATGGCTGACGTTAAGTAAAAACTTCAGGAGGCTGTTGTTTAGGAGTGGACTGCTACAATCCCCCCCCCAAAAAAAATAAAACCAGGAAAAGATACCAAAACAGGGGCAGAGGAGGTGGTTCCACCAATAAAATACTTGTCATTGGAGCATGAGAACCTGAGTTTAATTCCCAGAGCCCAGATAAACCTTCATGTGCCGGTGGTGATCAGCCCCACCTTCATCAAGAGACAAATGGTAAAGTCTTGCCCCCCTGTCAAGGCAGATCTGGGAGGGAAAGAGGGCTCTTATGGTATCATCTAAAACTTCTGCTGTACCATGTCAGGTAGAAGAAATGGGGCGGGGTCATGAGAAGTGCGAAGGAGTTGATGTCTTTGCCAGCAGTGAAGCAAGAATCCTAGAACAGTTTACAATGAATGTCTTAAGGCATTTCCCCCAGCCCAACCATAACTCAACATTTTTCTAGGAACATCACCAGAAAACCCCTTTACCGGGATAGGTCATGTACTAGACCCTTGTGCATCCCTAGTGGCTTCTGGTTTTGCCTTCTAATATTATAAGTTCCTTGAAGGCAACTCCAAACCATCTCACATATCTCTGGTTGGTCGTGGGGGTGGGGAGGATTGTCATTGGAAACCTTCTGCGATGTAACTTGAGAGTCACCAAAAGAGTACATATGGCTAAGATAGTTATTTGTCCTGTCTTGGAGAAACCTGTACCTACCCTTGGGTGTGTCTTACTTTTTCCCACCCTTCCTTGTAAAGAACCCAACCCCCATCCCACTTGGGTATGTCTCACTTCTTCTGTGTGTCTCTTGCTCTTAACCCTCAGGCCCAAGTCTGTATTAAAAATATCTATAATAAAATCCACAAGTCTGCTATATCAACTGGCTAGTCCTGAAATTCTTTTTGGTGCAAAAGCCACAAACATCATCAGATTGACTTGAGTTGAGGTCTCTAAAAGTCCAAGAGAATGCCTCAGGCTGATAAGGTGTCAATGTGGATCTGTGTTTCTGTCCCCTCATAGTTGACTAGACTTCTAAGTGACTTAAGGTCACTTAAAAGAATTTCAGCATGGTTCACTTCTATTTTGACATTCTTGTTTTCAAATGTCTCCGTGTAAAATGAGTAAGGTCTCTATGTCAGCAGTCTTCACCAGAAATCGTATTTGTGCTGGGATGTTTTACTCTTATCTGCCTGATGTTTCTATGAATGTACTTGAAAATGCCCTGATTTATGACTTTCTTTTGTTTTATAAATATAAGAATGCCATCAATCAGTTTCCACATTGAAACATGCTACTTTGGGTTACTAGAACCAATGTCTCTAGGCCATGATCACTCATACTTGGCTCAACAATAAACACTAATTCCCTTCTAGGTGAAAGTTCAGTTTTGTATTGATAGCCATAAATGATTGGAAGAATTTTTTTAATTTTTTTTTCCCCAAGGATAGGGCCCAAACAAGGTACAGCTGGGGAGAGGTTTGGCATAGGTTGGCCCAGCAGGGGCTTTTAAACCAGGGCTGTGACTCAAAAAAAGCAAGGGCTACAATCAGCCTGGGGCTCTGTCTGCCTCACCACACCTGGAGGAAGCCTACCATACAGCCAGACCTATAGGCTTTGTGGTGTGTTCAGGATCCAGGAAAGGGGCTTTGTGGTGTGTGCAGGATCCAGGAAAAGGACTGAGCTTGACATTTCAATCATATTTTGTGAAAACCACAAGGGCCCACTGTTTTGGACTAAGCTCACATTCTAGGCTCCATCAAAACAGGCTTATATTGTGCTTTGAATGAGAATGGCCTCCAGAGGTTCATGAGTTTGGATACTTGGTCCCTAGTTGATGGAACCGCTCAGGAAGGATTAGGAGGTGTGGCCTTGTTGGAGGATATGTGTCACTGGAGATGGGCTGAGAGATTTCAAAAGCCTCCTCCCATCCCCAGTGCTCTCTCTGCCTCCCGATTATGGTTGAGATGTGAGTTCTCAGGTGTTGCTCCAGGTGCTTGCTGTTTCCACTCTGCTATCATGGATTCTGTCTGGAACTGTAAACCTAAAATATATGCTTCCTTTTAGAAGTTGTCTTGATCACAGCATTCTATCACAGCAATAGAAAAATAACTATACCAGCCTAGAAATCAAAATGAAGTTTATGTCACCAACTTAACTGGAGATGTTCATCTGTTTATTCACAGAAGCCAGGCCTAAGAGGAAACTAGAAGCCAGGATTACAGAGATAACCACAAAGTTTCCCAAATAGGCCACTTCCATGCTAATGAGGCTTCCTCTGCTTAATCTTTATGTAGGAAACATTAACATAATTTAATTTGAAGTTAGCTAATGCAATATTTTTCCCCAAGATTAATGTGTGTGTGTGTGTGTGTGTGTGTGTGTGTGTGTGTGTGTACTGGTGAGTGCAGATGCTCACAGAGGCCTAACAAGGAGCTTAGATCCCCTGAAGCTGAAGCTAAAGCTATAGACAGCTGTAGCCACCTGAAGTGTGTGCTGGGAACTAAAATCAGTCTTCTGCAGGAATAGTATGCATTCAACCACTGATCTCTCTCTGCAGCATCAAGTATTTTAAAGATTTATTTTTATTGTTTGTGTTATTTGCTTATTGTTCTGTTTCTCTGCCCATAATTTGTAATGAAAACAGCTTTGAAATTACCTTTTTGGTCCTCTTGAAATAGAGGGACAATAAGAGTCCTTCTGTGTGACAGATTTTTTTTCATCTCAGTGAGCATGACTCAGAGGGCTAGGATACTGAATGAGTGGCCATGGAAGCCACTCCAGACTAGTGCCTTAAGCAACCCCATCCCCCAAGAACCTAAATGCTACCCACCCTGACAGACCTACCCTCATGGTCAGGGACAGGTGCCCAGGCTTCCCTGGGGACATAGGGAAGTTCAGTCACTATAGTACTGAAGCATGTGTCTCTGTGTCTTCTGTGACCCTCTAATCAAGGGGTGCTCGACCTTCCAAATGCAGCAACCCTTTAACACAGTTCCTCATGTTGTGGTGACCCCCCAACCATAAAATTATTTTCATCGCTCCTTCAGAACTGTGATTTTGCTACTGTTATGAATTGTAATGTAAATATTTTTGGAGCCAGAGGTTTGCCATACGGTTCACAGCTCACAGGTTGAGGACCACCACACTAAAGCCTTCACAGGGATGTTCCAGGGCCATCGGAACAGCTATGCACATCAACCCCAGCCCTAGGAAGGGTTCTCTGCCCCATGCTGCTCTTGAGGAGGCTCTGTCTTGGCCTCATTAGTTCTGTCATTTTCCTGGGCTGAGCTCCTTCTGTTCAGCATATCTACTTTTGCTGCTCAAAGGTTAGTCCTCCACCAAGGGCCTTCCTGGAGTCCACTCCTGGCCATTGCTCCCCAGGGTGGGAGATCTACCAAGCGTGGCTAAAAGGCCTCAGGTGTGGGCTTCTAATGGAACACTGAGGTGGGCTGGTTTGGGGGGGTAAGAAGTTTATTTTAAAAAATATTAATGCCATGAGCAGACAGACACCAACATGGCGGGTGCTCTGAGTTCAGATCCCAACACCATAGATAACAGGCAGACAGATAGACAGACAACAGCATGGTGGGTGCTCTGAGTTCAGGCCCCAACACTATAGATAACAGACAGTATGGCCGATGCTCTGAGGAGAGTTTAAGACCATGAATGAGGCAGAATGGTTTCTCTTTTTATAGAAGCAAAGGAAGGAAATAGGTTCACAGCACAAGCTTTCAGTCACACTGTCTCTGGTTCCCAGCAGGTACCAAGGGGGGCATGGGAAAATAATTCCAGGGGAGAAATGTTGGAAGAAGCACTTCCAGTTGAGGTGTACTGCATAATGTGTGTGCCACTACTGGTAGCCCTTTGAGGTCCCTGAGTCTAGCAGTCACACTTTGGAAATGGGGAGCCACAGGTGAGTCTGTTAGGTAGCTATGAATTAATAGGCATGGTGTGGGATAATGTTCTTGTTCACTCTAAAGATTTGTCACTCATATTGGCTTTCATCAGGGTGCTAGTCAGTGGCTGTGAGGCAAAAGGGGGGGGTCCTGCTGCAATTGGGCCCCAACGTCTCCTCATCACCTTGATTCTGAAAGTCACAAGTCCTAGCCTTGTCTGTCAGCACTAGAGTCATGGCAGGGAAGATATCATAGCTAAGATATACACACACACCCACAGAGGCGAGGGGAGATGCACACACACCCAGGCACACACACGCATGCACACACACACACACACACACAGAGAGAGAGAGAGAGAGAGAGAGAGAGAGAGAGAGAGAGAGGCACACACATATAGAGGCAAGTGGGCATATTTCCCTTACGACACATATCATTCTGTTACTGAGAATTTGGGGGGTCTCACTAGAGTTGTTACATGTGACTATGGAAATTAGGGTTCCCTCTTAGGAAAAACCTCAGGGCAAGCAAATTAGAAATCTCAACAGCTGCCTGGAGGAGAATGGAGAAGAAAAGGGGTCATGTTGTTTGAGTTAAGCAGGCACGGCCAGCCGTCAGCCACATTGTGAGCATACCCCCACTGGTGAAGAACTTTAGAGAGAATGAGAAAGCCCAAAGCACCAGAGAAAGCTTGCTTAGGCTCTGGCCAACATCTGAAAGAAAGACAGAAAAAAGAAAAAGAGAAAGTAGGGCCTCAGGTGGGCCGAGCCAACATGGTAGATGTGGAGTGGCAGCGCTAGGGATGGGAATTCTGGGAAGGAAAAGTGCATATCTCATCAAAGGGCTATTTACTCCTCCTACCTCTTTAGCTTGGCTTAAGGTGAGCCTTCCTAGGGGTGGTCCCACTTCCCTCAAGGGTGGTCCCTTGGCCTGGTCATTGACCTTGACTGAATGGAATGCTAAGTCTCTCCCCAGGCCAGAGATTCCATACTCTTGAGCCTTATTGCTGCTGTAATAATTCTGTCTGTACATCAACCCCTCCAAAAAGACTGAATTCCAGACTCACTCCCCACCCTTCCCGTGGATGGGCCCCAGCTTGTCAGGTCAGAGTGAAATGTTCCCCAGGTGAGCAGCTTGTGGCCAACTGCCTTTTCTGCTCACTCAGACACAATATCTGGGATTTGGATAACGAGAGAAACGGGAAAGGAGTGCAAGGGCAAGTTCCCATGCAGGAGGGGCTGGACATAGAGAGGACCTGTGCTTCCAGCCAGGCAATGTTGCCCTTGGAGGAGGAAGGGTGACCTCTTATTCTCAGGGCTCCCCAGCTGGGCTCAGGAAACATCCTCACAGTGGGTGGCCTGACCCCACAGATACTAGACTGACCAGAGACTTCCAATTCCTCCCTCCCAGGCAGCTGCTTCTCCTCCCAGCTTCTCAGGAAGGGAAGATAGCAAGGGGGCTGGTGTGCCCAGAGAGGCAGGCCAGGCCTATCACTGCAGAGCTCTCCTTTCCTTCCTTCCTTCCTTCCTTCCTTCCTTCCTTCCATCTTTCTTCCTTCCTTCCTCCCTCCCTCCCTCCCTCCCTTCCTTCCTTTCTTTCTTTCTCAGTATCTTTCTGCCTGTCTTCCTTCCTGCCTGCCTTTATTTCTTCCTTTCTTCATTCTTTCTTTTTTCCTGTCTTTCTCTCTCACTCTCTTTCTGTTTACTATCTCCGTGTGTACAGTGTAGGCATGTGTATTATGTATGTGAAACTGTGGTGGTTACAGGTTTGACACTGGATGTCTGCCTCCTTATTTTAATTTTTAACTTTAAAAAATTACATGTATTTACTTATTTGTTAGGAGTGTAGGAAGGGGAGGGGCACATAGAAGAGGACAGCTTGCAGGAGTCAACTCCCTCCTTTTGCCCACACACATAGTCCCAGGGTGTAGACCTCAGACTTGGTGGCAAGAACTACTTCTTCCTCAATAGGCAGCCTATTCCCCTACCATCCCTCTAAAAGGCCAAGGGAGGGACCATGGGCATTATCCACAGGGAACTTTGGGGACCCAACAGTCTGAATGAAGTTCACAATGTTCTCTTCCAGCTTGATCTTCTCCCTGGTGCACGTGACTGTCCTTTCTTCTGTTATCCATTCAGACATTCACTGCTATTTTCCCTGACCTTGAACCATTTCAGACGCTGGGCACACAGAGCCTCCATCCTCAGCAGTGTGTACTGTGGATGACAAAAGCAAAAAGAGCAAGTGCACAAATGTGTATCAGCTGCTTTCTTTGAGCTAGAAAGAATGAAAGGGAATTGCAGATTGGAGACCTGATCAGAGGCTGTGAGCGAGGGCTAAGAGCCTTGCAATCTCAAGTGGCCCTGCAGAGAAGTTTAAGATATCTGGGAAAGGCCACAGCAGAGAAGCCACCAGTGCAAAGGCCACAGGACAGGGGGGTTGTTTCAGATGTTCTAGAAAGGAAAGTCAGGCCCCATGTACTCTTATACAAGGGTGCATGACACACTAACAGACACTATAAGTGGATCTACTCACACTCACACACACTGATGCTCATGGGTACCTGCATCCTCACCCCTGCATTCCCACAGACACGAACTCATTCTGATACCCATGTGTACTCTCCTGCACCCATACACTCACCCATGCACTGACACCAGCATGTGTTCACCCTCACACTCACAGGCACTCATATACACCAACACACCTGCCCATGCTCGCACCCTTCCTTAACACTTTCAGTCTGGTATGTGCATATACAAACCCACTCAAACTACTGAGCTCTGGCTGTGCCAGCAGGACCACCAAAGGTCACAGTGTGGGAGAGGCGAAGGTGTGGACCACTGCTCTACCTTCAGTCCCCTCCCCAAGCCTGCTCCAGGTAAGATGCCCACAGTATCTACCTCCTTGACAGCGCCCCTTGGAAACATACTTTCTTCTTATTTTCAACCTTTGCATTTTAAATCCCTCCCTTGTGTCCTGGATGGAAGACTGGTGTTGAAGAATGGCTGCCTGGGGACTTCTCCTGGCAGAGAGGGTGCCCTGAGGAAGCTCCACACTGCCAGGGGCCCAGAGAAATGGAAAGCATGGCTGAGAGGGCTACAGGTCAGGCCTGCTCACAGGTCATGCCTGCATTCCTCTATACGCTGGCCCTGCACAGCTACGGCAGTCCACTGGTGAGGGGAGCACCACGGAGCTTCCTCACTCGCCTGTGCCCACTGCACTTCTCAGGCAGAGGACGTCGGTACCTGTGACGGCAGATCTTGATCATCAGCTTGATGGGATCCGGAGCAGTGGTTCCCAACCCTCCTAATGCTGCGACCCTTTAATACAGTTCCTCGTGTTGTGGTGACTGCCAGCCTCACGACTATTTTCATTGCTACTTCATAACTGTAATTTTGCTACTGTTTTGAACTGTAATGTAAATATCTGTGTTTTCCCGTGGTCTTAGGTGACCCCCGCTCCCTGTGAAACGGTCAATTGATCCCTAAAGGGGTCATGACCTAGGAATTGAGAACGGCTGATCTAGAATCATCTAGGAAACAAGCCTTGGTTTAACTGAGGCAAGATGACTTGCCCTGACTGTGGGGCAGCATCACACCATGGGAACCCCGGGGGCATAAAAATGAAAAAGCAAGCCAAGTGTCAGCATTTTTCCCTCCCGCCTCCTGGCCATGGAGGTGATGGGGCCAGCTGCCTCACTTTCCCACTGCCTTCCCCACCATGATAGCTGTACCCTCAAGTGGTGAGCCAATCGACAGCTGTGTGCATCCTCACAGGTGTACATGAGCCGAGTGAATCTTCACATGTGGGTGTATAGGCACAGGTGTGTCTGTGTGCACTTGGACAGGTGTCTGAGCATGCTTCACACATGGGTGTATAGGCACAGGTGTGTCTGTGTGCCCTTGAACAGGTGTCTGAGCATGCATCCTCACAGGCCTTCAGTGTGTTTATGCAGTCTTGGTTGATCCAGACACACCATGGAACGTACAGTTTCCTGTGTGTGCTCAGAGCACCCAGGCTTCTCACAGCCAGGCAGTTGCCTGAACAATATTTAGCACCTAAGATCTCAAAATGTCTTCAAGGGTGCTGGTGAAGGGACCAGCTCTCCATTTCAGTAGCCATGACAGTCTAACATGTGTTTGCCTGACCATGCCTTGGTGGTCACTAGGAGGTCAGATGCCTGCCTCGTGGCAAGGAACCAATCAGAAGTTAGCTGGTGGTGCTATGCTTTGCGGTTCTGGGTGTGCTTTATGGACAAGTGCACAGCAAGGACGCACAGAGCATAGCAACCGCACTGGGAGGGCGTCTGGGCCATGACAACCAGTTGACCAATCAACTCAGGGCACGTCCTCCAAGCCTGGAGGCACACCAATCCTGAGCCTGTGCATACCCCTAGACACTCCCCTTACGCTGCCCTATAAGATCTCTATGCAGTGGCTTCTCAGCGCCTTTGCCCAGCTATCTGCCATGGTGGATGGATGAAAGGCCTGAGCTAACATGGGGTTAGCTCGTTAACCAACTGCAATACAGCCTCGTGCTGTTTGCATCAAGTTTTCGGCTCCACCAGGTGATTGGGTGTCACTGAGGTCCTGGGCGGAAATCCTGGGGGCCTGAGCCTCCGGGGATCTTTCACTCAGGAGTGTAGCTCAGTTCCTAGAGTGCATGCTTAGCATTCAGAAAGCCCTGGGTTTGATCCCCAGTGAGTTTATGCCAAAAAAATGATTTGTTCCCCAAGTTCCAGGAATCCAGAGCTAAGCCCATTTGTTTACTCAGACGCTCTCTCTCTCTCCTTTTTACTTTTGTTTTTTATTTATTCCGCGTGCGTGCGTGCGTGCGTGCGTGTGTTTTAATGTGAGATCTGGGGATTGAACTCAGATCTTCATGCTTGTGTGGACAAATTACTTTACACACTGAGCCATCTCTCCAGCCCTTTGAACATTTTTTATAATAAAAACACCAGAGAGAAAAGGTCTGAGAAGGAAGAATACCAGTAGTCCATTTTTCTCCCCGTTTTCACCTTTGCTAAAAGCACAATAGGCAGTTTCTAAATATCAGAGGTAAACTCCAGGGTGTGTGAAATAAATTATGCAGTAGGTGGAATAATCACATGGCCACTCCTCCCTTCACATCTTAGAACGAATTCTGCTAGGGATGCTCTGCTAGAGTGATTAAAATGTACTTATCCATTATCTGACTGCTCTCAAACTACTGAAGACTAAGTCAAGTCATATCTGCTAATGCAGGGTCTGACACAGTCACAAGATGGAGATTGCAGGCCTGAGGCAGCCTCTGCTGCACCTGCCACTAAGCTCCTATCTCTGCAACCTTGCCTCTGGGAAATGATGCAGCAGCTTTGGGGCCCCAGCCACTGGACAGCTACACACTTCCTTGGCAGACCACAGAGATGTGGGGACAGCATCGTAGTGGCTATCACAAGGACTTCAGAAGCTAGCATTTGCCGTACAATATGCAGCACAAGAGAAGGTCTCAAAATTCTTTGAGGGTGATGGGAATGTAGTCCACTTGGTAGAGTGCTTGCCCAGCATTCAAAAAGCCCTCGGCTTGATCCCAACAGAAAGTATGTTGGCACATGCCTGTTACGACAGCACTCAAGAAGTAGCAGCAAGAAGAGCAGAAGTTCAAGGCCATCTTGGCCATGTAGCAAATTCAACAGCAATCTGGACTCTGCCTCAAAAAAATAATTGATTCTTTAAGTGTGCAGTTTCATGTGGCTCAATATGACTCATATAACCTTGCTACAAAACCATTTCATAACTGCTTTCCAACAACAAAAGCATGGAAAGTAGGAATTGCCAAGTCATAGACCTGCTTCTGGCCAGTGATTGACACATTTCACTACAGCTAATAACCACAGCGGGCCTCACTCAGAAGACACCTGCAGTTTCCGGCAGAGCTGCTCTGTCTCCTAATAGCTCTTGGGCCGATTTATTATCCCTCAGTCACCTCAACTGTGAAATGACAAACGTTTATATCCACATGGTTGTGTTAAGGAGCAGATCAGTTCATGAGCCAAGGACAGAGTATGATAATAGGGAAAACAGTATTGGTTGCGATGATGACGACAATGGTAGTGGTGATGGTGCTGATGATGGCGATGGTGGTAGCAGTAGTGA